ATGAGCTTGTTGAACCCCCACCAGATATGACCATGGCAAAATGGAAGGTTTCCTATGTGCTGTGCATCGAAAAATGGAGGGGGTTTTCGGCCCCGTCGGGAACGTAGAAGTCCTCAGGCAGGGAGACAAAAATGGCGATCTAGAAGTTGGAGGTGTCGTTAGAGGACGACTTCTCCTCCTCGACCTTCTTCGCTTCCCGAGCGTCTTGTCGAGGAGCATCTCTTCACTTGGTGTACTTCTTTAGGTGCCTGTCCTTGATGAGGGTTTCAATTGCATCCTTGAGGTGGATGCACTCTTCAGTGATGTGCCTGTGACTCTTGTGGAAGCGACAATACTTAGTTTTATCAGCGGTAGGCTTGATAGGTGTCTGCTTGGGGGAAACAAACTCCAGCTTGGAGTAATTCTGAGTTTGCACACTCGGATAGAATGTGGTCGTGAGATTCCGTTAGCAGTGTGTACTCGGTGAAACGACCGACAAATCCTTTGTACTCTCTAGATTTACGAGGCTTATCCTTCTTCCGCTTTTCTCCTCCTCGGCAAGGCGCCACAGGGTCATAGTGTCTCAAAGCTCGGGCATTCTCTTGATGTTGCGAGTCCCGAGAATTGTTGGCAGCTTCTTTCTCCTCGAATTGAATATAGGCCTGGGCCTTGAGGAAGAGGGACTCAGAGATGCATGCGTCTCGATGCCGACGACTTTGGCGAAGTCATTACAGGGGCACAGTCTCCGCTCCAGCAAATACTTCTTTATGTCATTGGTCGTGGAGACCTGGACAACTTCTCAATTGAACCTTTTAATGTAGGCCCAAAGGGGTTCATCTTTCCCTGCATGATTTCTTCGGTCGTTGCTTTTGACTTTGAATAGCAACCAGAAACATTGAAGTGCCTCGAGAACTACCTCTCTAGGTCCCTCCAGGAAGTGATGAACTATTCAGCGAGGCTCTTGTACCAGGTCATGGCACCCTTCCTCAGATTAATAGGGAACAACCTACACTTGATGACGTCTGGACACCACGATAGTCGAGCAGGGCATTAATGTTTTTGATGTACTCATCGGGATCTGTCGTTCTGTCATAGGTTCCCAAGTTTGGTGGTTTTTCCAATCCTACGGGAAGGGGAGCACCCATGATTTCTCGGGATAGTGAACTGCGGGGGTCATCTTCATCACTCCGAATCGGTAAGCGCGGCGGAGAGTAGTTGTACTTCTCCCGATGAGGGCTATCTACGCGACATGGAGGAGAATCCCTCAGGCGGACCTTAAATTTGCATGGGGGGAACGACGATTGTCTGGCCATCTGTTGGCTTTGGTATTCTTTGCATGGGGGGGGGGGGGGAAGAGTATGGTTGCGCTTCAGGGGTTGTGGCCTCTCCAACTACGGGCGATGGCCTGGTCGTTGCGGTGATGGGCGACGAGACTTGTACCGTTGGTGTCTCTGCAGGGGAAAGCACGGACGGCGATCTTTCTCCAATGCTCTGATCCTCTCATTTTGTTGGTGGATCAGCGTATTGGTCTGATTAAGGGCCACGACTAGGGGGTCATGGTCAGGTCAGAGTTGGACGGTACTAGGATTGGTTGGAACTTCTCCGGCGTCTTCTCTGGAGCATTTTGAACCTTTCGAGTCTCAACATATTGGACATTGTTAACTGCAAATTTTGACTTAAAATTAACCATCTTTCTTTTCACTTTTCAACTCAATTCTCCTGTTTTCATAGATGTAATTCATGTTGTATGATTCTTCAAATATATTGCAAATACCTTTGGATTCTTTGATGTGTGTGCTAATGTGCAACAATTAGGCATAAAACATCAATGAGTAAGACACAATAGATTGGACAAGAAGTCAAATAAATGTGAAGATTATGCAATGTTCGTTGGGCGAATAGTAGCGAGTAGTTAGTGAATGTTCGTTGTGCGAAGTAGCAGCGAGGAGGAAACCTTGGAAGTCAGTAGTTAAAGGATCCAAAGTTCGATTTGTAAACTAGTAGCAATGCAGTTCCCAGTGCGAAGAATTGGTCAAACAACAAACTCATATATTTTCCAAGGGCGATTTAACTGTTCCCGAGGCACTTCAAGTGTCTCAAAGTAGACTTTGCTGAGTGAATAGGTTGTTCGCAGTGCGAACATGAGAGATTTGTAAATACTATATAAGTACTTTTCTTGCTTTTTAGAAAGGGATGTTATATTTTTTGGATCATAATTTTATCTCTCTTCATTCTAAGTATATTATATAGAGAGAAACACAAATCTTAAGAGGGAGAAGGTAAGATCTTCAATCTCTTGTTGGGTTTGGATGTAATCTTTTGATACCTTATGTATTTTATCTAATTTATGTATTGTGAACTAGTTTTGATTCTCTATTGTTGCTGTCTTTGATTTCTTATTTGTGGGTCTTGACAAAACTTTTTTCAAATCTTTGATCTAAGATCCTCATCTATCAATGAGCAAACTTTTGACATAGTCTTATGAGATGATATTCATTTGCATCACTTTTATTTTATTATGTTAATTAAGTAGGATGAGTAGCATGCGTAGAATCAATACAGTAAAGACCGCGATAACACTTGACAACCAGTATTACGAGGATGCATGATAGTAGAGATGAAGAACGATGTTCACATACATTTAGCAGATTAGGTGAATGCATGTAAAAAGGGTTAAGCGTATGTACGTATTCTGATCATGACATTATATATGAATCAAACTATTAATCTGATATGGATGTTATAGTAATATCTGTTGGGTCTAAACTCTAGACATAGATTTAGGTTGAACATTCACGTGAGTATCAGTTCTTAATGCTCTGTATTGGTTTTGTTGCGTGAGATATCATTGATGATACAATATGGTTAGCCTCTCGACTTTGCGTTAGACATAACCTCTATATTATGGGTGATTTGTGATGATATTAGACGAACGTATGAGTTATGTATAACATGATTAAAATAATGCATGTATTATTAATTGATGAGATGCAAGCCCAACAAGGCCCCGTTTATAATTCAGTCTCTACTTTATATTTTCTGCCTTTATTTATGGTCCTTTGATCTTTTAACCAATTTAATCAAAACAAGTTTAGAAATATAGAGACCATTGAACGGTAATTCTTCCCCTCACATCGATCCCTGTGGAGACGATATAAACCCCATAGGGAGTTCCTTCAAAATAACTTTTTTGTATCTTGCTGCTTTACTATAGTTTGAATAGACATCATCATCGTCCACTTCATCAGAGGAGGGAGAAACGGTGTGCCCGTCCCTTCTAGTTGGAGTGATGTCTTCCAGAATCGGCATACTGTTGTCATTGTCGGCGTTGTGGACGGGAGTGAGGATGGTTTCGTGACCGCTATTGTCATGTTGATCGACCATAATTGGTTTTTGAAGTTTTCTACTTCAATCTCTTGGTTTCAAGGAAAGAAAAGATGGGGAAACAAGATTTCCATAGATGGCGCCACTGATCTAACCTGTCGACCAGAATGTGGCCAACAACACATCTACAACAACAACAGTCAACAAGAGAGGAATGAGGTGTACATGCAGTCACTCCAATGCTTAAGTTAGTCGGGTGAAGAGGTAGTAAGAAAGAGTACAAAATATAATATATGACCCTTCTGCAGAGGAGAGTTTTTATAGAGAGCCCCCAACGCTGGGCCAATGGTGTCTGCTATGGGCTGAATGTCCAAACCCACAATGGATGACTGGCAGGATTCTTACGTGGACGTAGGGATGAGCAACACGTGATCATCGTCCTTGGTCAACTACCCTGCATTTCCTGGATAGTGTGCGGGCTTGTCCGTTATGAAAGACAGAACGATTCTGTGAGGTGTGCGGGTCAAGTTGATGACGTGTCCTCGGGTGGGGAGCATGTGGAAAAAATGTCTTCTACTGACTCCAAAGGATTGGAACAACATTCTAGACCGTCCTTGAAGTAGGATCAGATTAGACTGTGCTCGACGTTGCGTCAGCCACAGACCCAACCCAAAATAATCACCAAATTAATGTGTTTAATCAAACTCAAATGTTTTAAGTTCTAGTTCGAAATGTCCAACTAACTTAGATATAATTTGATAGACTTTTACCAATTAGTAGTAAAAAAGATTAAATTTTTAAAAATCAATTTGATAAAAGTAGGTTTTTATTGAAAGTGAGTTGAAGTATTAGATACACGATTCACTTTCCAAAATACACGATAGATTTTCACATCAATAAATTGCATAATCTATCACTTGTTACCAACAATGATATTTCTAGTTAATTGGATGAATATCAGCACTAAACATAAGTAACAAATTCCTCATTTTTCCTAGTGGGATTCAACTATCATCATCATAAAACATCTTTCCGTAATGGATGTAATATTGCTAATGCAGTAACTTCCAAAAAGAAGTTAAACTGAAATGACATTGTGGTTTAAATTCAGACGTCCAACCATTTTATAAACCGCGTCAAACAATTTTATTTATATTTCTTTAAGTATTTTCATCTCAAAACTCAATTGACTTTTTATAATGAAAATTGTAATATTTAGTGTTTTTTAACAATATATTCCAAACACCTCTCAATCAAAGTTCACATCTACTATGACCATCGCAACATCTTCAATAATCACAAACACCATTAATTATAATTTAAAACCATGTTTTTCTCTATCACTATATGCAAATCCTATGGATCACAATCAATCATGATGATCAAACTAATCTACAAATCCATTCAATAAGCAAAGATGACATATCTTTCAACCCATAACATGATAGGATGGAATATATAGATACTATTCACTTTTCCCAATCTAATCCAATGGATATCAATCAACCATTTTGTCCTTCTTGTTTGGATCATAGAATACAACACTTGGCTTAAAAGTGAAACACAATTCTGGTATCTTGAATTAATACTCTAGAACTAAAATACAAACAAAGCATTGATCATAGAATACAAAATAAACTGAAACATAGTTGGTGTGAGACAAACATAACCGAGGTTAATGTTCTACATGTTCTAAACTAACACGTGTCCTTAGGCGTGTCCCCTTTGAGTTCTTCTCCTCCCATTGGTTTTGCGGTGCCCATTTCCATTGATTCCTCTTGTGTTGTTGTTTTTCCCATATTCCCTTTATTCTCACGATATATCAAATACAATATTAGTTGCAATGTCCCCAATGCTGACCCTACACCATTTGGTACCTACAAATAACAAATTTGCCCCATCACTTTGTCAACAATGATTCACAACCTCTACATTATAGACACGACACTAATTAATAATCTTTGTATCTGACACGTGTCAGACACTTTAACTTTCATAAAATATGATTAAAAGTGTGTCGGTGTCAGATACAAACACGTGTCAGATGACTTTCTAAGAGATTATTGTGTACTTACTGCAACAAATGGATCACGACCTAGTACACCATAGATGAACCAAGAGGTACCACAAAGAAACACAAATAGTGAAAGGAAGAATGGCATAAACTCCACACTTTTTGTTTTCACCACCAATCTCTGCATACATCAAAAGGGCACATTTGTAAATTTAACTTGAACATGTATATGTATAGTTTGTACAATAATGAAAACAATGATTAACAAAAGGAAAATTAAGTTACCAAAAAAGGAAACAGATTCATGCATTAGGCACAATGCTTTATTTAGTTAAACACTTAATCTTACCTATCCCATTCAAACTAAATGACTCTTATTTTGACTTATTCAAACAGTTAAAAAAAAGCAATTATTATCATACAAAGTGTGAACAAAAAAAACTTACCATAATTGAGAGAGGTGAACCATACATAATGATTGAAAATATAGCAGCAGCAAAACCACAAAACACTTTCCTTGAATTACCATGCAGAGCAAAGAGTGAAATGAAAACAACAGCTGAGAAAACTGTTATCACAAAAGCAAATAAGCCACTTATTTTCAGCTTCTCCTTTTTTGGTGCATATAGGATGAAGATGAAAACATATATGATTTCAATTACTGCTCCTGTTCCATTGATTATTGCTACTAGTATGTTGTGTGGTGACACAAATGGTAAACCATACCTGAAAATTGTCATAACCGCCACAAAAAATAAAAAAGTGACAGAAATAACCGCCGCAAAATGATTTCAAGAAAGAAGAAGAAGGAAAGAAAGTTACCAAGAAGAAAGAAGACAGTTGAGAAGAGTCATAATGTATGGAACGCCAGAGAATTTCTCTGTTGATTTCTTCACAATGATTCTCTTGAAAGTGATTCTACAAAAGTAAAATCAACACAAGTTTCACTTTTACTCAAACATTGAACCATATGAAACAAGCGAAAAAGATCAAATTTTTATACATGATAGAGTATCAGAAACGAAAAATATTAAAAGGGTTATTGGAGAATGATTCAGAGAGTTGAAAAGTTGAAAGAAATGGATCATACATTGGAGCCATGAAGAGAAAAAGGCCAAAAGCGTTTCCTGCAGCAGAGAAAGAAAATGAGAAACAGAGAAAACAGAGCAAACAGAGAAAACAGAATTCTGAAAACAAGAACACAACAAAAGAGGGATATTATGAGTCTACCAAATATTCCAAATACAAAATGAGCAATATCCATGATGATCTTGTTGATGATGATGATGATGAAGATAAAGGTTCAAAGATATTAGAGAAAATATCCTTTGAGAGATGAAAGCAAGATGGTGAAAGAATGAATTGGTTTGTGGTTTGTGAATGAAGAAAAACTGACAGTAATGAGTGGTAATGTGCAGTTGGAATAGCAAGTATTTATAGCAAAAATGGGAAGATTATTTTATGTAGAAAAATGAAGAATTGAAAGGTAACTAACTTGTGAGAAGGGTTTTTAGTAATCTTTTATGATTAGGTTGATATAGTGTGGTTTTAAATTTAAAAAGTTCAACAAATTGTGGGCAAGGTTTTTAGAAAATGGATTTTAGGTAGTTAACAAATACTTCATTAGAAATTGAACCTAGTAGAAGGATTAAGATTTAATTCATATATAGTTTGGATGGTCCACCAAAAAAAACTACTTCTCAAATATAATAACATTGCCTAATTACTAGACTATATATAACACATGGAGTTTAGGTAGTTAACAAAGCCATGGGTAACGTGAGATAACAACTTCTTATATAGTCCTATAATCCTTACAAGATTTAGGTTTCAATAAATTGGAAATTTAGAAATATAGGTTTCAATAGATAGGAAATTTAGGCTAGTCAAATTCGTTATAAAAAATATATGAGGCTTAAAATTTCTTTTGGATTCTATCCAATTTTTTTAGTTCAGTTGGATCGACCGATACATTGTCTTTTGTGTGCAAATGGGTCGAGTTGGATCGGGTGTTGAATTGATTCGGTTGTTTAATTTAAATTGTATAGGATTGTTTGGATCGGACTCGAATGCTTATTTTAGATTTGACAAAAACTGAAACTGACCGAACTTAATTAATATATATTTTATTTATTTTTATTACTATATAACTGATTTAATATAAAAATAAGATTTATAATAGTGTAGGATATTATTATTTTTATATTTTAATGATGACATTGTGTACTCCCAAAAATACAAGACATGCACTATAAAATTTTGAATATTATTTAACCTATAGTTTAAAGTATGACAATGATCAAAATTAATGTTAAATAATATTAAAAATATTATATTGTAATAATAGTTTTTCTTTTAATAATAAAAATTTGATATTTTTATAATAAATTAAAAAAAAAAGTCATTTTTTTAGGGTTGTTTTAATAAATATTAAACCGACCCGACTTAACCGCCAAACCGACTTAACCAAATGTGACGAAAATCAAAATTTTATTGGACGAAATTGGACCATAAAAACGAAATCGTAATTTACATTGGATTTAAGTTTTAGATCCAAAACTGACCGATTGTCTATCCCTAGTTGAGTCATCTCTCCTTTTTGTAATTTAATGATTGTTAGATCCACACAAAAAGTAAAAAAAAAGTAATGATTCATAAGAGACAAATAAATAAGGTGAATGAATGGTTAGGATTTGAGCATGATAGAAGCATGAGGAAAGAGAATGAAAACATCCATATCCAAAAAAAAAGATCTCACTTAAAAAAAATGATTTTTAAAGGACTTACTTGGAAAATTAAATAAGAAAAAAATTTCTTAAATGATTGATCAATCAAAGAGCAAAGACTAATCTTATTCTCGAGTTTAAGGTATAAAAAAAGAAGGTTAGCTCTCCTATATGAAAATAGGATAGAGATGACTAAGTAATTTTTAGGCGAGGTCGAACATATGTCAGACGTGAGAGCGAACTCTCCAAGTTCTTTTATATGATTGAGGATGATTCACCAAACATGTTCCTATGATTAGTATGACTATCCTTATCATAATTGAATAGTCCCAAATTCCACATACGGTCTAAACTACCTCCTATAATGATGGGGTGAGTCATCCTCCTCGTTGCTTGAAAGTTCAAAATCAGGATCTATGTGGCTGAGTTTTTAGAAAAAAAAAATACCAATATCTCTCAAGAAAGGGATACTGGTGTGCGTGTGTGCGTGTGTGTGTGTATATATATATATATATATATATATATATATATATATATATATATATATATATATATATATATATATATATATATATATATATATATATATATATATATATATATATATATATATATATATATATATATATATATATATATATATATATATATATATATATATATATATATATATATATATATATATATATATATATATATTCATTAAACTAGGCTAGAAGATCACTTATTCGCATATCAGAGATCTAAAGCTTTATTGGATAACATAATCATAAGAGGTAACCATTACTATACTCATTGCAAGTAGAGTTATCGTGAGGTTTGATAAAAATGATTAAGACCCACACTATTTTTTCATAACCTTCGTTTAGCTCAACAAGCGTTTTTGAATGGTAGACAAAAGAGACATATCCAATTGTGGCGTGGAGTCCTAACGGAGATACAAGTTGTTATGGACGAGCTATGTCGTCAAAATCAAACCCTTCATGCAAGTGTTCAAAACATTCAGTAGCATCACCAAGCAACTGACAAACCGCAAGAATGCATAAAGGTTTTAGACCCATAATCTCTCTCCGCCAAGACCCGTGACACCTTAATACCATATAATTTCAAGCTTTCCTCCTTAGTTTCGTTTGACGGGAATAGTGACTTATAAGAACACATGGCCTCCATCAATAACATATGGTAATGTTTATGGAGGCCTTTCAGAACAAACTCAAAGATGGATACTTCATAAAATCTCTCGCCCATAAACTCGCAGAATCAATGGAAAAAATAATGGAGAGATTCAAATACCATGTGAAAGGCGAGGAGATCAACGCTAATAAGAGGGTCAAAGATGCAAAGAAACACAATAATAGGGGGTGAGACTCGTCCAACCATTGCAACAACAACTTCTCTCAGGAAATCCGAGACAAAGGAACTTTGAAAATACCTAGAAAGCGCATCGAGAACTTCACCCCAATAAAAACCATACAAGAAAAAAAATATGTCGAGAGGCGTTCCACACTAAATCATTCTTAAACCTCTTACTGCTAAATTAAAATTGATGGGGAACGAGCCCAAAAAATGGCTCAAGTACCAAAATGTTAAGGCACATTACACTGGTGATTGCCATCATCTCAAGAAGGACATAAAGTGCCTTATCTAAGAGGTTCACCTCATAATATATGTTCAGAGCACCTCATACATCTTAGGATCAAAATTAAGGCCTTTGAGGGGAGATAGGCCTAAAAGCCTCCAGCCCAGAAGAGAAAAGGCACTAGAAATGAGGAGTGAAGCGCAACCTTGCTCGTTATACGATCAACAATATTGTTGGAAAAGGTGAATTAAGCTTCTTACGCAAGAGGTTTGTCTTCTCGATTATGCATGTCGTGAACACTCCCCCATATTTGCAATTGACCTTTACTTCTGAAGTCACTTTATCATATTAATACCTTGTTGAAAATATTGTCCCATGAAGATGTCCATATGGTTAGTATCGTACAGATGGTTATTTGGAATGTTACAAGAGTACCCATAGATCTTGACAACTTTACCGACATCCTTTATATGGAAGCCTTTAAAACATTGCAACTAGACTCTGAGCAATTGCAAGAAAGATTACAACTAAACTCTGAGAAATTGCAATCATTCAAAGGCTCGTTGGTGGGTTTTTCAAGAGAACATGTATTAAGAGGTCTTTCCTTGGACGTTCCCAAAAAAACATTCATGACCAACAATTTCAATTACTAGTAAGAGGCCATACCTTTTAGTCCAAAAAACGTCGAGCCTCTTACCTAAGACTAATGGATACAATTTTTAAATAGAAAAAAGATAAGAACCTAAAAGTCTATATAGACGAGATAATTGTTAATACTCTAGTATGAGAAAAGTCACTACAAATATTTGGAAGATATATTGTGATTTGTTAGAAATATAACCTAAACCAATGTTCATTTGGGGTTCAAACAAGGAAATTTCTAGTTTTTTGGCTAATTAGGATAGAGATTGAGGCTAAAACAAACAAATTCTATGTCATAATTCACATGAAGAATTTGTTAATAGTAAAGGAAGTTCATATGTTAACCGAGCGAATTGTTGTACTCTCTCGTTTCCTACCGTATGCAGGTGATAAAGCCTTCCTTTTCTGCCACGTTGAAAAAGGGAAATAAGTTTGAGTAGACAAAAGAATGCGAATAAGCCTTTATAAAATTGAGAACATGTATGGGACACCTTTAATATTAACTCGCCCAAAGGAAAAGGTTCCTTAGTTCCTATATCGTTCAGTTACTAACAACACCATGAGCTTTGTGTTAGTTTATGAAGCTAATGATACAAAAAAAAACAATCTATTTTATGAGCAAGATCTTTAAAGAAGCATAAATAAGATATCAAAAACTAGAGATGTTAGTTATGATGGTGATCACAACAACGAGGAAACTTAGCTCATATTTCCAAAGTCATCGAATCCTGGTGAAAAGTAAATATCCAATTTTCCAAGTCCTAAAGAAACCACACCAAATAGGTAGTATCAAATAATAAGTTCTAGTCAATTTTTTTGGAAGAATTAAGCTCGCTAATACGCAAAGAAACCCATTATATATGGATCATATCAATGGATGGAGCATCAAAACTGAAAGGAATAAGGATCGAAGTAGTGCTAGAAGGCTTGAGAGATATTCTAATTGAAATTTTATTATAATTTGAATTCAAGGCGTTTAACTTCTAGCTTGAATATGAAGCACAAATCACATAGACGACTTTAGCAAGAGAGATGAGGGAGTCAAACCTTTGAGCGATGATTGATCTCATCTCGTAACTAGTTAATATTCTCTAGATCATCAATGATCTTATGAAGTTTTGTCAATTGCTCCACCGTGGATTTGTTCTCTACCATTTGGAATGATTAGAGTTGTTATTTCAGGCACAATATGTGAGGCAAAAACTATGTCATACACAATGATTCAAGTTTTTCCCACATCAAAGTCACAGTTTTCTCCCTAATGACTTTCCTTAGAAATTTATCTTTGAGGCACAAGATAATGATACTCCTGGATTT